TGAGATTTGCGTCTCAGGCCTTAAAAAGAGACACACGAGCGAAGTCCAAAGAGCGACGGAGTAAGAGCGGCACACGACCGTTGACCCGTCCGCCGGACCCGAAAGATCGCTCGACTCTCGCACGCACACACGACCGTTTCTCCAAGTGTGTGTCGAGAGATAAAGAAAAAATTCGACTAGTGTTACGCTCCATCCATATTATCTCGGAGATAAGCTATATGTTTACATTTCTAAATATAACTCAGAAATAAGAAACAAAAAAGAAATTATTGCAGATGCGCATTCAGGCATATTAGGCGGCCATTACTCAGTAGAAAAAACACTTCAAAAAATCAGACAGCAATATAACTGGCCGAAAATAACAATAGATGTCAAAGAATTTATTAACAAGTGCGAAACTTGCCAATTTAATAAACGAGGAACTCGAAAATGTATTGTATCTAGCAGAAATTCGAACAAAGAAAACAAGAAGTAAGCGTGGACTCTTCGACTTCGTAGGCGAGGTTAGCAAAACACTTTTTGGCACATTAGACGACACAGTGTAAGACTTGCGAATTCAGTTAGTTAAAAATAAAAACAATTTTATTCACTTTCACGGTTACAATGTCTTTTCTTACAATATTTCACTTAGACTTATAATTCACAAACTATCACTTATGTAAGTAGACGGCGCGACCGAGATTACTTGTAAATGGCGAGAGCGACTTGAAGTAACTGACTGGCTGTATCTGACTGACTGACTGACCGCAGGCCTCGGTTCGAGGGCGTGTTATAGGGCCTGAGGTTGGTTATCGAAGGCTCTGGAATTTTCCTTATTTGATATCATTTTTGAGTGTTAGAAAATAATCTGGAATGTTCTAGACTCGATTACGTGTTAGGATAAGCGTGAGAGATTTCCTTATATGGTAAGGTATGTCGAAGGGCCGACGGTGCGTCATGGTCCTATCGCTATCTGTTGACTTAAGATAAACACGGAAAGTTCCAGAAACTACACGTAGCAACTAAATTAAACTAGACTATGGTCACAGTATATCTGATACCATATACTATCATTATGAATGAAAAACAAGTTCAAAAAAGTATTATATACCCATTTTCAAAAGCTTTATATAGTTTTGTATATTTATTTGCTTCTGTAGAAGCGCTTTTAATGTTGTGCAGTAAATAAAATTAAAAAATAAAGAAATTTAAGTTATAAAAACGTCGGTTTACAGGTCTCTATAGTCGGTATCCAGTACCCTCTTAATGTACATAGAAAATGTGAATTGAATAACAACTCTTAAATTCAAATAGGATGCTATTTTGCATCACATGTATATTAATATATGTATGTGTATATTTTCTATGTGATGATTTACATATTAAAAAACTATTTTGCACACACATCTAGTGTATGGCTCTCAGGTTTATTTCTTGATTTAGTTTATTTTTAATACAGTATATTTTGTGATACAAAAACATTTGTATATCGTATTCGAAAGATATGTACGCATATATTTTTTGAAAAACAAAAAAAAAAATATATATATATATACATATATATATATATATATATATATATATACAAACACACACACACACACACACACACACACACACACACACACACGATAGAAGATGTATTTAAATGTTATCTATTTAAAGTTTTTTAACTCGGCCCTTGGCCAAAAATCTATATCTTTTTGATTAATATACCTATAAAATTTTGATATTTATTAACTTATGAAATAAACATATTTATATAAAAGAAACACATTTTTTGACTCTTCTAAATCTATTTAGTATTCTACGTATATATTTTTAACAACAGTTTATATTAATAAAAATTATAGATACGTACGTTATTTGAAAAGTAAAATGGCTCGCGCGTAACGCGCGTGCTTCTGTTGTAATCTTTCTAGCATTTAGAAAAAAATTAAATGTTGCGTTTATTTATTCTATTCACAACTATAGAGTACGTAAAGTGTATTTCTTATGATAGCTGAATTAATCTGTCGTTGTTGGTACAGTGGTTATCGAAGAGTTCTCAGTGGACGTTGAAGTTGCAATTGCGTCCAAATCTTCCTTGGATAGATTCTCGTTGAGCCAAGTGTCGATCACCGGCACGTTTTCCTCGTTCCACTTGGTCTCCTGCTTGATAATCGTAAGCGCTTTCTTGATGATGGCGTCCGCCGATTCAAATTCGTCCCGATGGTCCATGTAGAGCTTGTTCACCTTATCATAACCTTCTTGCGTGTTAAACGACGATGTGGCAAAGTTAACGATACCGTCCCAAAGATAAGCCTTGCTTTCAAAACGCTTTTTCACGGTGTACCAGTGCTCATGCAAAAAGTTGAACAACGTTTTGTAACCGGTCGCGCTACCAGTCAGCATGCTAAAGATCAGGTGGATGTCCGCGTCCGTAAAATTCTCGTTCTGATCCAGTACAGTCACTTGTAACAATCTGATGTCGACAAAGCGACATTTGCGTGTTTATTTATTTTTTGTTAATGCATTTAAATATTTCTTTATGTGCGATAACTTATGTTTTGCAATTATGATACTGACCTTTCGATCTTGTTTGTATCCTTCGGACACCCCGCTAGAGTCTTTAACAAATAGGTGCGCTCGTTCTGTTTTCTTGCCAGACTAGTCTTCGGGAAATTTATGACGCGCTGCAATCCAAACTCCCATTCGTCATCGGTACCCCATTTGAAGACTGGACAAAGGAACTCATTGGCGACTCTGAAATTTCACGAGTTTTGTTTCCAAGACAAAATTTTAAGTTTGTATTTTAAAATTAGATAGGAAGATATACGGGCATTTATATATATATATATATCATATATGAGATGCAAATATAACATTGTATATGAATTCACGATTTGAAATTTTAATTCAAAATTTACGTGAAAACTTTACACAAATAATACATTTTTTGTCAAATCGACCACTTCCTCTGTCCGAAAATTGGAGCAACCGAAACATTTTTTTCTGGGCTTAAATTATAGGTATATATATATATATATGTGTGTGTGTGTGTGTGTGTGTGTTTTATATTTTCATCGTGACCTATTAAAAAATCAATAATAGTAAACTCATTATAATTTAAGCCCAGAAAGAAATTTTTTTGATTGCTCTAATTTTTGGACAGAAGAGGCCGATTTGACAAAGAATGCTTTACATATATTTAGTTTGCAACAAACATCCAGCGTAAGGTTTTCCTTGACCGCTTATGTATTGTTAGTTTTAAACTTCTAGAACCTAAAACTTTTCATTAATTGTTGTATTTTGTATTTATTTTTTATCTGAATACTAACGGATTCCCTTTGTCCGGTTCCTCGTCAGTTAACCATTTCTTGAAATGATCGCGTGCCTCTTTGATGCAAGGCTCGTATCCGGCACGGCAGAGGAAGTTTTTCATAAGACCACGCATGTGAGTTTTCCAGGACGGTTCGTTAGGCTGCGGGTTTTCGCTAAGTTCCAAGTAGAGTGGCTTCAGCAAGCTTCTAATATAGGCCTGAAAATAAAATTTCCTGACCTCAATTACTTTTTTTAATTCACATACACTGAGATTTATTAATATCTGATAAATAAATAGACCAAAGTTAGAAATCGTGAATTTTGAAGCAAACAAAATCCTAAAAAAGCGAGCACCTCGAATTTCAAATATACATCCAGACCCTCGATCCTCCGACCAACATGATGAATCATCGTGAACACCGGCTCCCAAACCACGTGGTTTTTCTCTTCCTTGAGAAAAAGTGTCATGTTCATGGCGACGCTGAAACACAGCTCGCCGGCGTACGCCAGGTTCCACGCGTCGTGCAGAAGCTTTGCTCTCGTTATCGGAGGTATTTTCTCGCGGTCTGGTCCACGTAAATACTTTGACAGTGACTTCCAGTTGCAGGAATCGTAGTTTACCGGAAACATTCCTGCAAATAATAATAAAAATATGAAATTAACATTCGGTCAATAGCGTTGGTTCTTATTGACCGATTTAATGTTAGTTAAAAATTTCAAGAGCCTTATTTCTTTGTTTTAATAAAAATATGACTAATGTTAAACAAAAAAAATTGCAGAAATCGAATAGTAGAATAACTCCAGAAATTTTAACAATTAAATCTTATTGAAGCTCGATAAGTTACTAAACTAAGAAATATATTTATGGTCATGCGAGCCGATCGCAGGATGTTGTGTGGAAAAATAAAAATTTACACGCGAACAAATATATATATGCATATATATATATATATATACGCAGTGTTTCCGTACAACATCCTGCGATTGGCTCGTATGACCGTAAATATATTTCTTAGTTTAGTAACTCCAGAAATGTCAAGCATATAGAACCGATTCTTTTTACAGAATACAAAATTATCTTTTTCTTCTTTCAAGTAGCAAGAAAAGATAAATGTTTTTCTTTTTCTGAGAATTGCGCAGTCATTCAAGAATATTGGGGCATCATCACTAGTGGAGAAAACTATTGGCCCGTCCATAAAAAAGAAATTACTTAAAATTACAGGAATTTTATTGTAATTGTAATTATGTATTCGCGTTACACTTAACACGAAAAAAACATTGCAACAATCTGTCTCCAAGAATATTTTCTCACCTATTTCTTCGGGATTAACGATAATGAAATTATCTTTTATTGTGATGTCCGGGATGGTTAGATTTTTTGGTTCGATCTTTCTTGTCAGCCACACAGTCGGTTTTGTATTGGAGAAGTTCAACTTGTCTTGGGCCTGCATTACTATAGGAATGTCCCACTGATAGGACACTTTTGCCGTCGATTGTGGCGGTATGTCTCTCAAATACACTTTCTAAAAAAACAAACAAGATACTGGAAGTGAATTTAAATAACAAAAAGGCAAGTTCGTAACTATCGCGTTGCCGAGAAACAATTTAATCGTAAGTTAGCGGCACAATCGTGACTATCTCTAACGTTCATTATCTATGCAAAAATCGCGTCTACTATCCCGCGTCGTTCGTCCTTGAAGAAAATAACGCTCTTATGTTTGATTTTACCTGGCTGAGATTAATTTTCTCAGTTTTGTAATCACGAATGACCGTGACCAACGGCACTCTGTCCCGATTGATCCACGACGCGGCAATGCTGTTGATGGTCAAACCCGGTGGTAAATCATCGGCCACCTCATTCAAATAAATAAAGATGTCGTCGTGAAAAAAGGTTCTGCGATTCCTACGAAAATGAAATAAACGTACAACACGTACAAATTCCTTCTCGATCGATCAAAAGTCGATAAAAAGTAGCCGGAAAACAGGATGCAGATAAAGATCATTTTTCTCACAATTTTACATTATTTAAATTGACTTTTAACAAAGTAGCAGACTTTTATTTGACTGCGGAATAAAAATCTATTTTCTAAATCAAATCTTCGTCAAAATATCAAAACAAGTTTAGTTTGAAAAAGTGTTTGTAGTCTGCTTCCCGGCTAAGTGACGAAAGCAATTACTACTCTTTCGATAGCTGATGGAAAAAGTTCATCACGCCTTTTTGGAACTGGCCACGACCGAGAGTGTAATTGAACATTCGGAAAACCAACTCGGCTGTAAAATCAAAGAAAGACGGAAACAAATAATTTATTGCAAGTAATATTTCTAATTTATATAATGATACTTTGTGTCAAAATTTGATCACACCTTTCGTCCACGTTGCTTCGTGTCGAATGCCGGCCACTCTGGAGAAAGGTGCTGTCTGCGCGAACTCGTAATATAGAGGATATAACATTGTCATTGGCCACTTTCCTTCCATTTCGTCCGGATTGAGCTGGCGGATGTGTTATAAATACATTACGTTTTTTTAAAAACAAATAAAAATATACATGGTGTGCTGTAAGTCAAGATCAATCGGGATGTGATTAGGGACCCAAAAACAAGAAAAAAAAGTTAATATGAACATATGTCCTGAAATGCGTTGTTTTTGAATTATCGCCATTTTTTATGTTGAAATTGCTGTATTTTGTATTTTTCAAAATTAAAAGAAGGGATGGTTAGTATGTTTATTTCAACGTTTTTTCTTGTTTTTGAGTTCCCAATCACCTGTCGAGCGATTTATTTCGATTTACGGAACATTCTGTGTGTATGAAATATTGCAAAATATCTTACATCAAATGTTGCCATTGACGCCAATAACGAATTTAAAGCCTTGTTAACAGGCGCGTCATTTCGACGATACGGAGTGACGGATTGACCGATCCATTGATAAAGGAGTTCGTAGGTTGTAGACCAGAACAGAGGACTACTGAGCTCGCTTTCTCTAAAAGAATAAAATTAATTCATTTCACAAATGCTACTGATGCTACACAATATATATTTTTACATATAAAAATATGTAATTTTACATATACATACTTGAAGAACATGAGACCCCAATTGTCAGAAGCTTTAGAAACGCTGTACATGGGCAGCGCTACGACGTCCAATTTTGATATCCCGATGGAGCTGTTGAAGTAATTTTGTAGATAATTAACAATCCTCACGATTTTGTTAGGGACACTGACTAACGATTCGATAAATTCTTTGCGAGCCCAGACTTTCACTCGCAGTCTCTTCCCGTCCATCTCGTTTATCTCAGCCGTGGGCTCGATGTATTGCAGATCTGACAGCAGGAGGGCTAATTGGTTCGTCGACATTCGAGGTGTCTCTTCGAACTCCTCGACGACCGTGTTTGCTGATTCACCATCGCGTCGAGAACTTTTAGAAAAATATGATAATCATATCTTCGTGAAATCTCTAGAGCCAGTGTGTCTCTTTACATTTGTGATTTTGGCATGGATATATCGTGAAAAAGAGCACGATGTATACGTACATTGATGGCATATTTGTGAGCGCCGTCAGGTCTTTGGAATACGTCAACGTCATTTTAAATGTCGCTTTGTAAGGTGGTTCATCCATACACGGGAACATTTTCCTCGCGTTGTCTAATTGCAAATAAGTGGCAACGAACGAGCTGAAGAAAAAAAAGTAATAGGTAGAAATTTTATTAACATTCCCGCTGTGTTATAGTAGGTGAAAAAATTCTCTTTTAAGAAAGAAATTAATATACTGTCCTTACTGTGTTCGACCGTCTGAGTCTATGTATGCACTTTTGTAGAGCCCGGTAGTTTCGTTGGTCGTTATATTTCCCTTATATGTGACATCGAGCTCGCACACGCTACCATTTTTCACCATCTGTTCTAGATTAATGACTAGCCAGTACTTTTGTTTTTGCAGTGCCCAATTTGCGATGTAAACATCCATTGGAACGCCCTTCTCTCTTTATCATAAATAAAAAAATATTACTGAGTGAGTGCAAAAGTTTTGATTTTGTGATAAAAAAAAAAATGGATCGAGTGAGATTTTATTAAAAACAATTTACTCATTCTTTCACAACAAAAAAGCAAAAGACAATAAAAACACTATGAGAATTACTTGATAAAATGAATAGTTTTTGATAAAATTATTTGATTCATTTTTCTATTATAAAATCTATCAAAACTTTCGCACTCACTCAATGTACACATCATATTTTTTTGTTCACATCAAAATATAGCGTATAATAAATTTTATACTTAAGATGTACAAAAAATTTTTGTGTTAGTTTGTCAATCGAGCATTTTTATACTTGCTTACGCTTCATCGGACGGCAATTGAAGCATTCGGATGTTAACCGTATTAATCTCATACGTCGGATGTGCGTTCAATATTATCCTGTCGCTCGTGTCGGACCAAGTAAAGTTTATCTTTACGTGACCGACGAATTTGTTGTCGGATTCCTTCTCAAAGAACGGTGGAATAACGAGATGCACGTGATAACTGGTTGGCGTAACTTCATTCGGTAATCTGTACTGACGCATTTTGGAGTAGTAGACATCATTTAAGTCAATACTGCGCTTTGATCGTTTATCCTGCGGGGATTGAACAGGTGGATTTTAATCTCTCTTGTTTTCTTTTTTTTACTCTACGATTATGTACGTTAGTTTGTATAAGTTGACGGCACACCGTACTAACATCCTTAAGGCTTCGTGAAACGCTGCACGGTATCGCTGACAATAGAACAAATCCCGCAACCAACCACGCCAACCACTTCATGATGAATTTGGGTCGTAGACGACGTTCGATGCGAGGTTACTTGTAAACGCACGCCTGTTTAATAACAGACACGGATAAATCACATCTCGAATTCAATAATATGAGGTTCAGAGTAAAAAGACAAGAGTTTAACGTAAATAAATGCTCTCAATTATGCTCTTAAAATAAATCTTTGAAATTACTTGTTATTCTGTAAATTTTTCTGTTTCTTTGAAATTCTTTTTTTTTTTAATTTATTGTTTTTTTGTTAATTTAATCTTGTTATTCGCAAGTTTAAACTAAAACAAACAATATAAGAAGATTAAAGAGTTTAACAGCAGTAACTTGTTTTCGAGAAAACTAAGTTTACGTTGTAACTCTTTTTGAATGTTTAAAAAAGCTGCTCTGTTGCACTTTTGTAACAGTTTCAAAAGTGATTACTTGCTCTAGAGAATTGTGTTTTCAAGATAGAATAAGTTTGACACTTTTCTGAAATTTTGAAAAGAGATGCGTACAACGAGATAAATTTTGGAAAATATAATTTTACTTGATATCTCTCTCAAAGAGCTTACAAAGAGCTTGCCGTTATCCTCGGCATGCACGTCTAAAGGAAGCTAAGGATGATCTGTCGCCGGCGCGTAACTGCGGTTTGCCAAGATCTGAATACCGCCGTGTCTCGTCGCGCCGGCTGACCTTGATACCCTGTTTCAAAGAGAAGACAGTTTCCCCTGAGAAGACCACCTCCGAAGAACGACCGTATGACAGCGTGGCCGCGCGCAAACTGTCGACATGAGCTGCTTTCTCACCGCAGGCGAGTTGTCTCGACCAAAAACGTTTCCGTTGCGGAAAAACGCGCGACTGCGATCCCGCGTACGTGACGTTAAACCGCGGCACGCGGGAAGAGAGTCGGATTCAGGTCCACTTAGTGCAAATCGGCGGGGATCGTCATCTATTATCCAATATATGTCGCCGAGCTGTAGGGGAGCCTAATCGCGACGAGTCAATCCGGACGCGGCTCAAGAGGCGACGACGTCAACGGCCAATCTGCAATCTGACTGTGTCGATCAATGGGGTAACAAAATGCGTCTCTCAAGCATTCGACCGGGCATTTTCACTCAGGACCTTGGCGCCATTGTGCTCCCCTTTAGACACTCCTCGTCCCGGTGTGTGATTGCGTTCGCTATCATTACAACGACACGTGCCGCCGATTTGCGTGCCCCGGCTCCTGGTACCGATTCCGGACTCAAAGCCCAATATGCACTTGGATCACGAACCAACCAGATCGCCTCAATTGAACTTGATGAAGTGTTTTGTTCGCGAGATTTTCTCTTGCGGGATTCCAACGCAATAACTGGGTCACTTGTGAACCACTCGAGATGAATCAAGAACGCGAATTCGATTATGTCGTAGTTTAATATTTGTTTTTGATTTTAAAAGAAGTGACAAAGTTAGAATGTAATGTAAAATATTGTTAGAATATTCGAATATATTAAGGAAAGAGAAGAAAATATATAAAATAAAATTAATAAAGAAAACATATTATGCGCCAAACTTTTAAAAGATGGTAAAAAATATTATCAAAAAAAAAAAAAAAAAAAATGTTTAATATTTTAACAGCGACACTCACTTATGTGTTTCTGCGTAAAGTAAAGAGAATAAGTCACATCAGTTTTGTGTGGATGCGCTGTATTATCGTACAAAATTTCGTTTCGCAAAAAAACACGAAGAAGAAGAAAAACGTTGCACGTCACGCAGAAAAATCTTTTCGACAGCAGGTCTCGTAATCGTGAATTATGACAGAGAAAACTCATAAGGATAAGAAGCGTAACGAAGCGGCGACATGTGGAGCTGACGAACGAAGAGCAAAAGTGGGGAGCGCCCATCGCGAGTGCTTCTTGGTCAACATTCATACCGCAAGATAGAACGATTAATTGCAGTTGTACCTGCGTCACCTGTGCGCGAACGAGAAGACTACGCTTCTGCGTCAAAAAAAAAAACACACGCTTACTCTTCGAAACGCGGTGACTCGTTTTTCTACCGCGCATTCATTTTCGTGATCATTTCCTCGTTAGAAATACACTTTCCACGTTACTTCATCGAGTTTGCACGATGCGACGAGGATCTGTCAGCAGTTGGCAGTCCTACGGACAGCGAAACTGTAAGTGACTAAGCTGTTTCATTAACTTTGCACACATATTCGAATTACAAATTGAATTAAAATCTTTATTTGAATTTACGTAATTTTTTTTTATCAATAGAGAAGGAGAGAGAAAGAGATATAAGAATTGTATTGTAGAACTAGTATTTACCCACATAGCATCGTTAGTAGCACAAACGTTTCTGCAACGAGTTTTCCAAAACTTAGCAAAGTTTCGTTAAACGTTTCTAAAACGTCGTAGTAACGTAGCGTCGAAATGTCCGCTTTTTAAGTTTCGGTCCGATTTCGTTGAAACGTATAAGAAACGTTGCCCGATAAGTCGCCAATTTTTTAATGTTTAAATTTTTATAAACATTATAAAATACATTTTTGAAATCATGCAGGTTTTGCCTGCTTAACCATTCTCCAGGAAGGAGTGATTACTTAAGTAAGCTACGGTTACTACGACGTTTTAGAAACGTTTAACAAAACGTTGCTAAGTTTTGGAAAACCCGTTGCAGAAACGTTTGTGCTACTAACGATGCTATGTGGGTAGTAATTCAATCAGAGAACCATCAGATCGCATTTCGAGACGCTCTATGAACGATAATTTATGCATTAACTTTATCTGAGAATAACGTTTTAAAATGTGTGCGTTCACGCACGGAGCCACATCAATTTTACGAACATTTTGATTAAGTTTCCCGACATGTGTATAAATATGTGCTGCTAACGATGTTAATTTGCTCGTTACGTTACATGCGTTGTTTAAAAATTACCTCGGAACATACGCGATCTTTTCATTAATGGTTCTGATATCGTGTGTATTTGCGGGAATGTGCGCCAGTAGTTCTCGCATTAAAAATTCAACTTTAATTACACATTAAATTATTGTGATAACAATAAAATACGTTTAAAAAACATAGGATCATAAAACAAACAATAAAACATATAAAATTGAATATAAAAAGTAAATAAAAAAATATAAAATATAAAACATGATCTACTGTTTTTTATAAAGACAGTTTTACTTGAACTATCCTAATCGTAAGTTCTCTTCTTCTTATACATTTATGAACAGAGAACTCAAAAAATAAGCTAATTTCAACTTCTCTCAGTGCATCCTATTCTTTGGAAATAGTGTCAAGGTTTCGTAACGATTGTTTATGTGTGACAGTCACGTTCACATAATGTAACGAGAGACGAGAGAACAAAGTTATATTTTGTCGCGTAGACGCTACGAGTAATAGTATTCTTAAACCGAAATCAGAATAAAGATATTATCATTATAGTAGGATCTGCGGACAGTTATAATTTCCAACGTTACGTAGCGAGAAGAGACTTAAAGTCTCTCAGTGCTCAGTTCGTGTCTCAGAACGTGCGTATCTTGAAATCTAACTCGCAAATTGCAATATTCATTTTCTTTGAGATAAACTTCCTCTTGTATATAATTTTAATTTCAAGTAGAATTATCTTAAATTAATAATTTTATAGACGCGAGTAATATTTAACGTATCTCTTACATTACTTAGCACCGTGTCTCGCGAATTTTTTTATTTTAAAATCTTTTTTAAATGAATACAAATGCGTCTCTTCGATTCTAAACTGTGTTACTCGATAAAAAAATAAAATAAAATAAAATAAAATAAAATAGAACGCGGTAAGCTTTGTGTATAAAATAATAATAAGACACTTTCGAATTCGTTGCAATTACACTACGTTTTTTAAGTCGTTCAAAAGACGAAGTGCTCCGCCTAATGCGACGCGCGATACGGACGTTATCGACACGGCGATGATTATGCGAATGCAGGAGTTGATATGTAGTCAGCGAGGTGCACAGCAAGTAGGACCTTGAAGCAACCGACTTTTGCTGCGTTTACGAGCGTGTTCCGCGCGCGGAATTATCGCAGATTTCTGCATCACGGGGAACCAATTTTGATGACGTCATCCGCCGTACATTCCGTTCCAACGTTGAGCAGAGCGAAATTCGCCTCGCGTCGTGATCATGATGATTGACTGATGTGAGACGAACGATTTTCATCTACTTCTACGGAAAATTGATATTCGAATTCGCGTTGTCAATCTGAATTGTCAATAGCTAATTTTGTTTTTTTTTTAGTTCTCTAGCTCCTCTATAATTTTCGTAATTTCTATGATTGTCTAATTAGCGCCGACTCAATCTTGATCGTAATTCTTTATCGATAAAATTGTTAATTGCATTTCTTACGGAATTTCCGAGAAAATATAATCACCGATTGTGAACGGAATTTAAAGGTATTTAATTTAGCGAGGGAAAAGTTTATTTTCAAACTTAAAAAATATTACTAATGTTTTTTTTACAAATATCTTTTTAGCTGTTTTTTTTTTTTTTTTTTTCAAATAAATGCACACATCTATTCTTAGAGTGCGGTTAAATTTTTTTTTTCAGCCGATTGCATGATGCAAACGTATCAGGGCAACACGGCACTGTCCTCGCCAGGCGAGGAAATTGTCCATCATCGGAAGGGCGGGTGGTTTTTAACTTACAAAAAAATTCTTTCTTTTACCGCCCTGATTGTAATCGCGGTGATCGTCGCCGGTGTGATCGGCTGGAACATCGGCACCATGCCCAAAACAAGAGTAAGTGACTACATGACGAAAGCTACATGACACATTTGATTTCTCAATACCGATAATAAATTGTTTCTTAAGTTGTGCACTTTTTTCTGTTAATTAGACGTACGATTCTTTAGCTCTCATCGATGACGAGACCGAGGAGGATGACTTTGTTGTCTCGATATCGCCTTTCGTTCATCCCTCAAGATATCGTCTCGAATTGTCGCCGTCAAACAACGTCGCCAACGCGACGTCTAAGTTAAAGGGGCAAGTCGTCATTGAGTTTCGCGTCGACGAATCCTTAAACAAGTTGTCTCTTAATGCGAGAAACATCACGACCACGCATTACAAGCTGTCGCTCATAGAGGCGAGTAACGCACTGGCAAAGAGGAGGCGAAGAAGACGCGCTGAAAATAACGATGACAGCAGCAGTCAGAACGCGGCAAACGGTATTTCATTCTTCTTAAACAAATTCTCTCCGTCGAGTTTATTTAAAAAAAAAAAAAAGTAACTCTTTTTAGATCTGCAAGATAATTACAAATAGATAAATTCACGTTTAACGCACAGACAGGAGGCATCTGATTTCTGATATAACGAGAATACGCGATAACGCGTTACCTGCAGTTGTGTCAATATCCAGTGTATAATAGCGATCAAGTGTTCGGTTGTGTAACCGCGCGCGATAAACTGCTAAGATAAAAAAGAAAATGAGTCAATTTTCACCGTGTCTTAAATGTTATGTAAACGTTCTGGTCTCGCCAATGTGCATTGAGAAGATAAATATGAGATTAAAATTTGATGCGAATAAGATTTAACGGGAACAAATTTAAATAAATTTGCGAAAATAACTATTTTGTTTGATCGTTTTATTAAAACGAGAATTCGATTTTTTTTTTTTTCTATCAACGCAGATAATGCCACAGTGTCGAGTCTGTTCCCTTCGCAACTGGACAATCAGGAAACCACACGCGGATACATTACGGACAAACCTCTGGAAAATGCGACGTCTTCTGGCAACGAAACTTCCGCATTCGATGACAAATTCGCGAACGCGACGACATCCAAAACAGAAACGTCCCTCGGTAACGAAAATGTAACCGAAGTGGAAATCGAAAGATACGAGGTGGATGATATAAACGATTTGCACGTGTTACATCCGGCCGTTGATATGAGGCCGGGAACGTACAGCTTGGAGATCGAGTACGAGATCGTACCCGATGGCAAGGCGATTTACTCGGCGAGCCTGAACGATTCCAAGGGAAAGTAAGTGTAAGATCTTTCCGCGATGTGTTTGAAAACCTGATTTCTTTTATCTATTGTTTGTCGTAAATCGTTTTACTTAAATTTTGAAATCTTCGATAGGTCAACAATCGGCACGCAACTGAAGCCTTTGGGAGCATCGCATCTCCTACCAATTTTCGATGACGTGAATCTCAAGGCTGTCTTCTCGGTGTCCGTGATACGTCCGCGTGCTGGAACAAAAGTCCTTACGAACATGCGTCTTAACGTCTCCACAGACACGTGCGTAATTGGTGCTGTTTTATTTCTTCTCACAGCTGTGTCAATGTTTGATCGTTTATAGAATATTTTAAATAGTTCGAAAATGTTGTTCACGTTTTTTCTTTTTCAATTAGAAACGTAAAATTTATAAAACACAATGTACAGCAAAGAAAGAGTCTACGGAATTTTTATTATTTTTATAACAATTTTAAAATACGTTGCAACAACTCGCCGCGATTTGTGTACATTGTTACGTACTTTTCGTTTTTTGTTTGCACGTTCTTGTGCGATGTTAAGAAAGTGATAAGTCTGCAATTTCTTCTTTTTCAAGATCGGACGATCGGGTGATCGATACTTTCGATGACACTCCATTGCTCTCGCCTTACAACTTGGCTCTCGTGATAGGCGAAATCGAATCGTTGGGCGAGACAAAAGCCGGGCTCGATAAGACCACGTCGACATTTTGGGGCGACCCGAAGAGAGGCGCGCGAGGAATATATCTTCTCGACAAACTCGACCAAGTCGTTGCACGTCTGAACGATTTGTTCTCGACGCCTTATCCACTACCGAAATTGGACATCGTCGCGCTACCTTCGCAGATCGTCGATAACACTGGAAGTCTCGGATTAATAACGATGAGGTGAGAAAAGGAAGATACTTGATAGAAAAAAAAAAAAATGATATCTGTCTTAGTCACTAAATTCTTTAAACTAAAATTTATACTTGGTACATTTATTGTATTAAAACCTCGCGCGATTGTTGCTGCAATTGTATAGCTAAACCGATCCATCTTTACATTTCATGTCGCGTAACACATCGAGCTTAAATCGTTTTCAAGGCAATCGCACTTCTACGCCGCGGATCGATCTCCCATGGTCACGAAAACCGACGCGTTAAGTGCTCTGATAAGCCTGATAGGAGAACAATGGCTGGGTGGTGTTGTGAACATGAAGAACTGGACAGACGTTTGGCTTCTTGAAGGCTCCACGCTTTACTTGCGACACTCAATGATTGACGAGGCATGATTTGACTTAATATTTAACATTCTCTGTTTTTTTACTATGTATATTTGTTTATATCATAATTGTCTTTTTTTTTTTAATTTTGATATAAAACAATACAGAGTTTGGTGTAAATTTATTTTATCTTTTTTGGAGTATGAAATCCCGACTCATACGCTTCTTGATACGCGTCTAAATAAAAGCACGGCATCTCTTTCTCGCTGCGAGAAATCAAAACTTTTCATGAGATTCTATTTTCAGATAGACTCGTCACTGGGCTCGAATCACGCTTTTCTCACGGACGTTCAATGGGACGCCATGGAAGAGGATGGTTACAGCGCATCGAAACCTTTGCTATCGAACGTCAATCCCGCTCATCTGGATTTCTCGGACGACAACGATCGACATAAGAAAGGTATTGGTCTTTTGTCAAAGTGACTTTCTCTCTTTCTAGACAGCACAAAAAGATCACGTCTTAAAGATATCTAAAAGACAATAAGACATTTTTAAGTCGGTTTTTAAAGACATGTGCTGTCTAGATCTTATAGCAATAAACATAGTGTACTCTGAAATATCGATATATTTTACCTTTAATTATATATTACAATTAAAATTATCTAAATTATTAAGATAATTAATATTAATTAATTATCTGTATAATTAGAATGTAATTAATTACATAAACATGTAATTAATTAATATTCTATTTTTGATCTTAGAAAAAAAGATATCGATATTTGTGCTTCCTGTGAGACTATTCGGATTATCTAATATTTGAGCAGTTCGAGCAGACGCGAAATTAAACCTAAAAAGCGTATTTTAAATTTCCTCACAAGAAATATTAATATTACCACCACATTCAAAAAATATCTTAAATAATATCCTAAAGACACCTAAGTTATTTTAGTTGTCTTTTAGATATCTTTGCAACATCTTTCAGATTTTTGTCCTATCTGAAACAGTTTTTTTATAGTAAAGTAATAAATATTAAAATACCACTTTTTACTTTTTCTCTCAGAATTTGCTTACGTGCAAAGTGATTCTAAATAAGTGCAAAAACTTTTGAGAGGAAATGACTGTTGAAAATTAAAAGAGGTCTTTCATTAAACACGTATTCTTATATTCTTTTCTGAGAAATTACAAAGAGTGAGATAAAATTAGATTTTTATTTTTTTCACAAATTTTAAACAAGTTAAAAAAAAAAGAATATTTAGTGAACAGTTTTTATTTTAGTAAAAAATAATACTTGTTAACATTCTTTTTTAATTTTTTGTATCGTTATAAGAGAATTAAACTGATTGGACGGTGACAGTTCTCTTAGTGACGTTTCTCTCTCGAATGTGTTTCTCAGTTCGTACATATATACTAACTGTCATCGCGATGACAGGTTGTGTTCACGGAATACGTTAAAATAAAGATAACGTAGCGTGCGCCTGTGTTGTGCTAGTCGTTATAAAAAAAATAAAACTGGCAACACCTATTCAATTTTTTATTCGAACTTTGAACGAGCCGGGATGTGAGTGAATATTTTCCACTAGAAATCTATTTTCATCTATTTTTAGATGAAAATAGATTTTTAGATGAAAATAGATTTCTAGTGGAAAATGTTCACTAAAGTTTACTTTTTGTTCAAAATTTGAGAAAAAATGAAATTATAATTATCTTATTTTTTTAAAGAAATGTAACTCCTCAGGAAGAAATGTAGTAGTACATGTTTGTAAGATCTTAATTTATTTTCGACAAAGAATCATTTCCTAAGGGTTTTTGCTTTTCTAATTTAGAATCACTCTATGGTAATATGCATAATATACGGAATACTTGCGCGCGAATAGTCTCAGCTTCTCTCGAAAGGCAGTATCGAATATAGACGCTCTTTCCGTAACGCTGCATAATGTGATTCTGCATTCTGACTGCTTCTTGTAGGTGCATGCTTGATACGCATGTTGCATGGCGTGATAAACGATACCGCCTTTAGGAATGGCTACCAGAAATTCATAGCGAGGTGGTGGGTATATCATATTATCGCCGTTTTATTCTTCGTCGGGCTCCGTCGTTTATTTCATAATAAACGATAATCGACGCGTTTTACAAGTTATCTCGTTATCGTCGGCTTTGTGGTAATGTCGACCGTTGAATGTCACGAGTCGCTGGCCGTTGTTTCTCGCGCTTCTTTATCGGCCCGATGTTACGTAACTACACGTATACACTGATGTATATTTCATTGTCGTTGAATTGCAATGTCAACGTGAAAGATATACGACGCATAATATATACGTATATGTACCTCTCTGTACACGCTACAATGTCAATATTCTCAATTTTTTACGTCTCAAATAAGCTAAACCTTTTTTGTAACTTCGTATCTAAATCAAGAAACAGGACTTTGAAAGCTATACCCTGGACGTACAGAGGAGTGCACCATATCGTTCCGCTCCAGGAGAAGTATTTCTCGGAAATTTCTCCTCCGACTGTCCCTACTATCGCGCGCCGTTTTTCTTCAATCTCGGGCCGCTGGCGGAGATCGAAAAAGTACGGCGCGCGGTAGTAGAAGCAACCAAAAGAGAAATTTCAGAGAAAACCTTCCCTTAGAGCGCAACGATACGGTGCACTCCTCTGTACGTGCGAAATATGTGCCGACTTCATAGAAAAAAAAAATGAAGTTGCTTTAAATCTACGTTACGGGCTGCCACAAAAATAAATAGTTTATTCAATTGCATATGTGATTAATTTAATGTCTAGATTCTTAAAGCAACTGTGTGTAGTGCAATAATATTGATGTTGTATCAACAAAATATATTTCACGTTAACTGATGCTGTTGATTCAACATCATTTTTTCCGTACACGGAACGCGAGAAATTTGAATTTGGCTAAAGTGTCTTTCGCGTTGAAATTTTTTAAATTTCAGTAGGGATTTGTTAAATGATTAGAAGTGGCATCTTATATGAGTTTTAAAATTATTATTTATTTCAAATTTTCTATGTGTATTAATTTACACGTTAAAAATACATTTTGCACAAAAAATCGTGCGTCTATATGTTAAAATTTTCTTGTAGGTATATGTGTTACCCAGTTTTGATTATTACTTTAATGTAAAACTAACATGCAACTGATATGTTATTAGTTTTGTGACGTTTTTATGTGTTAGATTTACGTCAACTTCGTAACTTAACATTTTATATTTGTCATTTAAAAATAGAATATTATTTTGAGTGAGCTTTTAACACAATTATTTCAATTAATCTGCATGTCTCAAAGTCAATTCAGTAGTCTAAGAAAAGTTAGAGTAAATCTTAAAATAATCATAAACTATGACGCACAAAATAATTTGCTAAAATCAATGTTAAAATAATTATTATCGTGTGTTAATTTAAAATATACAAAATATTGTACAAAAAGTAAATGTTCTTTTGCAGTAAAAGTTTCTTCATGAGTTATTGTAACTTTTCAATGTAAGTTCTATTAATTATTTTATACGTTAGTTTTACATCATATATAAAGTTAAAATAACAAATATAAATGTATTGTATATATCAATTATTTAACATGACTAGTTTATCAATATGTAACACATGACAAACGAAGTTAATTTAACTTAAAATTTAGATATCCTGGGTCATGTGAAAAATGTCCCAGAAGATTTACTAAAATGAAAAAATTAACGTTTATATTGTGCATTTAGCGTATGGCTTTCAAAGTTCTATTTCTTGATTTAGTTTATACGTACTTAACCGTACCGCGTATTTGTTGAACTTAATATTTATGTTTTAGGAAGTACTCAACGGCAAATCTCGATGATTTCTGGACCGCAATAGCTGAAGAGGCCAACGGTTTACCCGAGCAAATTAATCTGTTCGACGTGATGAATTCGTGGATTTCGCATCGCGGATATCCGATCGTTAGCGTCGCGAGAGATTACGAAAGGAACACCGCTGTTATTCGACAGGTACGCGACTCGCTACGTGATGTATCATTAAATCTCATATTTCGCGCTTTTATTATGCGTAGTCGATTTGCTCTTCGAGAGCAAAACCTATTTGTTATCATCAATGATTGTCGTGCAGCAAAGATTTACGTATGACCAATCATCATCCGACGCTCGACAACCGACGTGGTACGTACCGCTTGACTATATTAACAAAACGAGCGATGATTGGTTATCTCCAATGAAGACGTGGTTGCATTCTGAAGAGGAATTGACGGTGAATAACGTTGGCGCACGGGATTCTTGGGTCGTGTTCAATGTGAATAAAACAGGTTGGTTAGAAAAAAACGTTGTTTTCTCGAAAATAAATTTTATGAGAATTTAAATTCTCTAATTTTTTAAAATCAATTTTTGTTTGTTTTATATTTCTATTATTATCTTTCTCTGACATGTTACGTTTCGAATAGTTTAATTTCTGATTTTGCATATCAATGACTTTTTCAATATTATTTTTTAATAAATAACACGTGTTGATTTTACTTTTATTAAATTCAACGAGAAATTGCAAAACACTCTAAGCGCATTAGTGCGTCCCCTTCTTTCGTTAATTGCCCCTTCAAGGTTATTACCGTGTGCATTATGACGAGGAAAATTGGAAGCTCCTGGCGCAGACCCTCGAGAAAAATCACGAGACCTTTCCAACGGAAACCAGAGCGTCGCTCGTCGACGACGTGCTCGGGCTCGCCGCAGTCGGTCTGACAAAATATGCGACCGCTTTCGACTTTATTAAATATATGCAAATGAAGGAACGGCATTACGCTCCCTGGGGCGTTCTGATGCGTCATCTGTTGAAGCTGAACGGTCTTCTGTATGAGACGTCGAGCTTCAGTGTCTTTCAGGTAGTTTAATGTTTACAAAGAGAAATAAATGGCGATGAAGTGTATTAAATGAAAAAAACTGAATAAGATTCAGAGTAAAACTTCATACTGTAATACTGTAACAAAATATTTTATCGTACGAAAACTGTGTGCAAAAATACTTATAAATATATTTCATATTTGTAAGTATTTAATTTATAAGTATATTTTATATATATTTTTATATATACTTATAAATAAATTTTAATATAAAAACATTGAAAAATAAAATTTTGAAAAATACGTAGCTTTTGATTAAAAAGAATAAGTTTCGATTAAAAAAAACTGTTGCACGGTAATGATATAATTCTGTGTATAAATAAATATTTGTAGGAATTTACATTGAGATTTACTTCACAACTATATTCAGACGTGGGATGGAAGGTCGATGAGGGATCACAGCTAACTTTGACCGCCCTGACGATAGCGTGCGTGTTCGAGAACGCGGAATGTCTTGAATGGTCAAAGAATCATTTTGAAAAACTGAAGGATCATCCAAATACTCTAGACGAAGTGTAAGTGCATATTTAGCGCACGAAGCTTTTCATAAGATAAAGACTTGAAAAAAACTTAATGGTGAAATATAAAAACAATTACTTTGACACAAATAGAAAACGGTTCTATTAAACCATCGCTGCGACAAAAACTCACTTGTAAAAATTTACAAGTGAACTCGTTATAGGTGTATACATATATGTATGTATATACACGTACAGTTTCCGCTCAACATCCTGTGAACGGCTCGTATTGGCCTTATATACTTAGTTTAATAAAAAAATTGCAATAATTAAGTGTTTTTAAACAAAGTAATAATAAATAATTAATTTTTTTCATTATCGCTTGATAGAAGCAAGAAAGAAAACATTTTTTCGCTTAACAAACTTTTCAAACGACATGAAAAAAAGAACTTTGTACATTTTCGCCATAACTGCTACCTACTTCCGGAGACGTCGGGGCTCGATTCTGCGAATTCTAAGATAAAACTTTGATTGTTTCAGCGTGCCGGCATACGCACGCGAAGTGCTGTATTGCACAATAGCGAGATACGGCACGCGAAACGAATGGAACTACTTCGTCGAAAGGGCGAACTCTACCACAGATCGAGAAGAGAAGAATCGTCTTTTATCGGCGTTTGCGTGCTTCCAGACACCGTGGATCTTGCAATCGTAAATATCTTTACAAACGTTTTTCAATTGCAAATAAAAGATAGTGTTACAGAATGTGTAAATAAATAAAACTTGTAAAAAATTAATTAATTGTAAATAATTAATTTAATTTAGATAATTAAAAATATATAGTTGATAATCGAATGTTGTAACTAAAAGATATAAGCATAATAGGTTGCTCAGCGAGTTGCTTGAGGGGAAGATTTACAACGAAGTCGAGACACAAAGGATCTTAAGAAGTTTCCCGCAAAATCCGGTTGCCGCGCAAAACGCCTACAAGTTCGTGCGAAATAATTGGCAAATTATCGTTACAAGGTACTTCGTTCTAACTTCCTTATATTTTATCATCACTTTCGAACTCTTTCGCAAGCAGATTACACAATGTGTATGTGTTTAATTTAGATTTGCGAAATCTCGAGCGATCGTGAAAGCTTTCGCGTTTGCGATGACGAACGGCTTGATCAGCGAGGAAGACTTGGAAGATGTAAGTGTGTAATTTTATTAATCGAACGATGAAACTCTCTCATACGATGATGACTAATGTAAGTAATTTCGCGAAGAGTCTATAGTCGTATATAACTTTTACGACAAGCAGAGATTTATTCCATAAATTTCACGCTTCCAATTTACGAGGGCGATAATTCGAAAAAGACGTAAATCTGTCTCGAACATTAAGACTTCGAACATTAAGACTTCGAATAATTTTCGGATGTTTGTCCGATCCAGTTCCGAACCTTCAGCAAGGACAATCTCAAGAGCATCAAGACCGTGGGACACACCGTGGCGATGGTCGAGGCGCGCGCCAATTTCGCGTTAAAGTGGCTGAGGAAATCCCTGCCGGAGGTTCAGGAGTGGCTGACGGCGAACAATGCCACGGAGACATCGACATGAATATTGGAGAAATCCTTCGGGCGCGATACAACGAGGGAGAGAAACACCTCCCTCTTGTACCATTATCTATCGATTCTCAACCGCGCGCGTTGCGGCTCTCGATGTTCCGGCGCGAAAAAAACAAGAGAACTGCGAGCAAACTTTTCTACGACAACAAGTTTTATTTTTCTCCGTATGCTTTTGTCAAGCATGATTACAAAACCAAGCAACAAGAATCTCGTCTTTATATATATACATACATATATATATATATATATATATATGTATATGTATATATATATATATATATCGTGTAGCTTTAAAACGACGGTGGGTGTCGTTAGTGTATAATTATTATTAGTTATTGGTAGGTACATATTTAACAAACGATATACATAATAATATCGCAATAATATCTAACGATGATAATTATTATTCCAATTGTTTTTTCTTACCGGTGTGTGTGTATGTTTTAACTCACCGCGCGTTTTGTTTTTTCCCCCTCACGTTAAATGTCGCTCTATCGCTATACGGTATACACTCTTTTTTTTTATATATAACACGCTATGTTTTACCGGTACAATAATCTATATAAATCCGTACCAAACAATTGGTATTATCTTCTTGCTTCTCACCCTTAGCCTAAACTCTCTCGTTTAAATGCATCAAGTACGGTATTCGCAAAGCTATTAAACACGCGGTTCAAAAGTTGGAAGCGACGGCGATGTATATCGTCTCGCCGACTTCTCGGGCTGTTTATTACAGATTAATTAAACGTCACGTAAACGCGTGCACCAGACACATTGCTTCTCTCATTCTCGTGTACAATTTTACCATTTTTGCGAGATCTTGAAATTAGCGCCGCGTAATGCCGGTTTTTTACATACTTCGATTTCACCGATTCTTCAACGCTAAACGTGTTCTCTCTTCTACTGTTTCGCATTTGCGAGTTTACGAAAGCACGTTTAGCGAAGTTCGAGTTTTCGCATCGTCAAGTACACATCTGAGATTCTCTTGAAAAAGTTTCGAATCGGGGACGTAAAATTCGAATTAAATCAAAGACGTTTTGTATTTTAACGCTACGTCGCACACAAGTTTATTTTTATCACATATATGTAAGTAGATATATATTAAATGGAAGAATTTCGTATTGAAACAGAGCAAAAAACTCTCGCATTAAAAAATGCACAAATTTGTGCTACGGCAAATAAATTTCTCGACGTCTCTCGAGAGTAACTTGCAAAATGTTTTTATTCAACGCGATAACACGATAGTAAACGGGGGAGAGTTACGTTTTATGTTTCGATTTCCAATTAAAGGAGTTATTTTGCAAACAAGACACGTCAACTTTTTTAACAATAATAACAAATTGACGAATACGTTTGTTGTTACAGCTATACGTTGCAAAACCATAAAACAAATGGCTTATATCGATTTCTGTTTCATCAAAATTCATTTGTTATTCGAGGCGTTTTTTTGCATGACACACGTTTAAAACTTTATACGAAAAAAATTCCTTGTTTTTGTAAATAACTCCTCCAATTAATTGGTTGAAAAAAATCTCGATCGTTTATTGTCTTCATGCAATTCACTTGATTTTGTCGAATGTATCAAAGTCACATTTTTTTTTTTTATTCAATGCTCCATTTTGAGCTCGTCATTGTCTCTCTCTTTCTAAAACGATCGCGTGTATATAAATCGCGCGACACGACGATGAAATATGTAATAAAATCGTTGAAACACACACTTTGAGCGCAAGCGAACACGATTCGTCGACTGCGTTATTTTTTTTTAGTGTCGCATTCGTTCCCAAAACCGCGTTGCCAAAAAGAGTTACGTTCTTTGTTATGTTTCGTGTGATACTTTTTTGTTTTTGTGTTACACAAGCATTTCATCTCCTTCGAATGCTCTGTCGATGCGTTTAATGCAACAGCACTTTGTACGTCAATGTGTGAGTTCCATGCTCTTCTTATCGTGTTAATAAATGTTAATAAATAACAGCGCTCAAATTCTTACATAAAGTGAGAAGTGTCAATCGCGAGAGCCGCAAATAAATAAATAGATAAATAAATAAATAAATGTATTTACAAAAGCTAGCGCGTGAAAAACAAAAGATTTTTAGCGCTAATTTATTTTATTTTTAACGTACCAATGGCAACTTTTTTAAAACCGAAACTTGTTTTGTGAATGAAATTTGTTACCAACACTGGTCAATTAAATATTGAAATACAAAATCATCACAAAAATGTCGTTTTACTAAATAACAAATAAAACCGACAACTTTTTTTTATAGTAAACTAAGATAAATAATTGATTATCGATTTTTATTTCAAATTTCGCTCTTTGTCAAAATTGTTTCATTATTTTTTTAGTATCTACTAAAAACTTAAAATAAAGTCAAGACGTCTAGGAACGTCTAAACTTGAATTTTAACCAGCTAAAACATCCTGCTATTTGGTTCATCACGACCGTTTTTTATTACTTAATAAAAAATTGAATTTTAAAATTATTTTTTAAATTTAAATACAACGACGTATCGATATTACAGAGTTTCATGGAATTTTTCGGAAAGGTAATCGCCTGTGAAAATCGTAAAAAAGGCCCAACCTTATTTTAGCCTTTACTTACCGCTACACTTTGTTATTTACACGGTATTTACATTTGTTTTGGTTAAATCCTGTCAAATCATCTAAAAGTGTATCATTCACACTATTTTCTCTCTCTTTCATTCTCTCTCAACTTGTATATAGTTTATCTATAATAAGATAAGATGTAGTTTGTTTAAAAGATTCTACTGCCAATTGCAATTCTCGATCGTGTCGATGTGATCTTCGCGATCGTCGATAAACAAATTGCTGCTGCTGCCGGCCTTTGCCGGTTTATTTTTGCAAGAAAATCACTCGAACGACGCGAATATCACGCGAACATCGCGACGCTATTTTTTCTCACAAGTAACAATATTATTAAATACATAGCTCTATCATAGAAAACGTGTGCGTTGTTTTCCTAACAATCTAGTGCGGAGTAGATCTGCTTCGCTTTCTCGCTATGAGAAATAATTCTTCGAATTCCTACGATACTAAAAATCGCCTTTCCTTTGAAATACACGCTTCACACTGGACGATTCTCAATCAGGTATAGTGACACACTACATGTCGTGACTCCTTCGCCTTGTCGTCGTGACGTCACTAATATTCTATCAATGAGTACATTGATCGCGAATCCGTAAAAGAGACGTATGTGTCTCTTTCTCGAGAAGAAGAAGAAATTGCTTTCTCTCTCGTAATCAATTCATTTAAAATCGATTGGCGATCGAGAGGAGTTTACACACTGGAAGTTGTTAGTTTTTTTTTCAAGAACAATCAACATTCAAGCGACGAGACGCAAAAATGTTCCTAAAGTACCGGAGCGTCGCGCGTTTTATTAATGGCAGTAATAATGGGGGAATCGTTATATTCCTCGCGCAGTTAATAATATATATATTTACAATCCAATCCAGTACCGCGGTACTTGAAATGCACAAAAGTTATTACTCGTTGGTTGTAGCTATAAAGCCTATGTCACACTACGGATTTGGATTGAAATTGGATTGCAATTTGGTCAATCAGAGCGAAGATCAATAAACTTAGGATTGGTTTTCTTTCTTCTGATTGGTCAAATTTCAATCCAATCTCAATCTCAATCCGTAGTGTGACATAGGCTTAAGAGTCCTATAAAAACGTCAGAGAATCAGAAATATCGTCGTAAATTTTGTTTCCCGACGAAAGAGGTTGTTTTCTTCTCGCATTGTTTTTTATATTCAGAGAACAGCCAATTGAGTGTCTTTAGCGAACTAACGAACAAAGTACAATTCCTTCTCCCATTAAATTTAACAAATTGATTTAGTTTTTTGCACAATTTTTCCGATTGTGTTGCAAATCATAAAGAACTTTCCGCAACACACTCAAAGTTTTTTCTTCCCGACCAAAGTAGAAACTCAGCAAGTCAGATAAAATACATTCTCCGACGTTGACTTTTGTCCTTGCGACTAATTATTATTTAATAATAAATACACGTGATACGCACAATTGTAATCTATGTATAAAACGGAAACGGAAACAAAAAGCGAAATCATAGATCACGACTCACAACAACCACAAACTACGGTATTGAACAACATCGAGACACGGTTGTTCAATTCCCTACAACTATCAGCTTTAGAATTCGTATGCTTTACTTCTTCTTACAGTACTATCGGTTATACTTTAATTGTATAATAATATCTCGCGCGTATATATAATATATATATATATATATGTATATGTATTGGTTTTTTACTTCTCGTTATAAAATACAATATTTTTATTGAGAGACGAGACAGCGCGAGATGCATCGGCGACGCAAGAGCCTTGCGCGTGTCTTCCTCGTGAGAAAGAAAAGAACAATATACAACAAGAAATCATCTATATGTACAACAATGCAGATTTATTTACATCGTTTAGATAATAGAGAGCAAGAGAGAAACGCCGAGAAAGTTAGAAGAAAAAGTAACAGATGCAAGATATTCGCGCGAAAGAAGAATAGCAACTTGTAATAGCAATTTGTAATAGAAAGAGAAGATCTTATAATCGATTAGACATGTATATGTAGTTTATTTAGGATAGTGTTTGAAGAGTATTTGGAATATACATATTATATGTATATATATATATATGTATATATATATATATGTATATATATATATGTATATAATTACTTCGCGCCACCGACGCGCCATCGTCTCGTCCACTTTTTTGTTCATATATTATACCGGATGTTTTTTATGTACCGTTCTGATTTCGTTTATGAATATTTCGTAAATAAAATATCTTTTATTACTTTTTTTTCAGATCTTTTGTTCAATTCTTGGCATTAGTTGTGAAATATGATGAAATATGATGGCTCGGTCAAATGGCTGCGGCGCAAATGCGTGTTCTTTCGACTACATTTTAAAATCACGTAATTTTCTTCGAGTGTTCGCGATCCATTTTGATAAAAAAAGTTTTAACAACACGTTGTTGCGGTGTGTCAAATTTTTTAATAATAAATTGCCAGAGTCAGATCTAAGTAACAAGTCAAATCAAAAATGGCGGTGAAACAAAATCGAAACGGTACATAAAAAACATCCCGTATATATTCGTGTATAAATGCGTACGTACCTAAAAGTATATCTGATTATACACCTCGAGTAAGGTTACCCTCTAAGTCTGTGTACGATGAGCTAGAGTTATATGCGGTGATAATCTAATTAACTCGCGTAATGTGCGAGCGGCTTCCGCGGCCTACGTTATATAATAATACTAGTTACAAAATGTATGCTTGCAAAATGCGGTGTTTCCTCGAGCGAAGTATCGTTCACAGTTGGCATTATTACGGCTTCCCGCATGTTGGTTGCGTCGTCGCAAGAATTTTGCGGACACACCTGTAACGTCGTTAGATAATTAACGGGAAGATATTACCGTTTTAAGCTACGTTTGAAAAATGTATAAAACATGTTCTCTTTACCCTTAAAAAAAGAAAAGATCTTCGCGTCGTATCAAGTCGCAACAACAGTTCGTTTATCGATATAAATTTTAAGAGCGACAATTGCAAATTTATTTCATATATATATATATATATATGTATATATATATATTTATCATATTGAAAAAGGATATTAAAACCAATGTTTTTACAATTTTATTCGAACGATACTTGACGCTCGCTACTTGTACGCGCTCGGGCGAACGACTGGAGCTTGACCGTCTCCTCCTCCTCCTCTCAGTTTTCGAGACACTATATAATTAACTATACAGTATTTTACCGCGACGTTCTCGTCAGCCTGGTATGATTTGTTTACTCGGTTAAGTAGTGGCAGCTTCTCGTATTTAAGATTTACTTGAGCAGTATTATAATAGGTGTACGTAGGTGTCTCTCTCCTTCTTTCCGAATTCCTTCGGGTCGTCGGTCGAATCGCGTGAGCAATGCGCCCTTATTTGGAAGACACCGAGTGTTAGTTTGTTCGGTGGGGCAACACCACTGTCGTGGTCGCGAACTGACTGAACTTCTTGTCGATCGGCGTTCGGTCGTCGTAAAGGGTCGGCGCTTGCAGAATAATGCCCGCGGTGCCTACCAGTACCGCCAGGGTGAAGATCCAAAGGAACAATCGGTCCAGCACCATCGCCACGTACTTCCAGTCCTCCTTCACCTGCGCGGATTGTCGAACGAGATAATTTATTTTGACCGTTCGAACTTTGTAGAGCGAGAATCGCGATTCTCGTTTTTATCTCGCAAAGGTTTTGTTTTTTCTTTTTTTTTTTTTTACCTTAGTCGAGTCCTCCAACATTTTGGTGTGTTCGGCGATAAAACGCACGCAGATGCAGGACCTGTGCAGTTCCGGTGGGCAACGAGAATGCGAAAAGGCGGGCGGGCTTCGAAGCACGGGACTCTTGACTTCTTCCACCCCGACGTCCACGGAACCCGAAAAGTCTTCGCACTCGGTGTGCAGCTGCAGGGGTGGCAGAGGAGGACCGTGAATCAGGCAGCTACCTCCAAACCTCGCACCGTCTGTAAGACTGAAGCGAATGTGGTCTACGTTATTTTTGGGGAATTTTCTATTTCTTCATAAAAAGGAATTATTCGCATAACATTTTTGTGTTCACAGTCTCAAAAAAAGGGCGATTTTATGGCCAAAATTTTTCTCGACGCATTTTCTGTATTGTTATAAACACCTGGAAGGCGAAAGGTCTTCTTTTGACGAAGGACGGCTGTGGAATCTCTTAGGCGTGAAACGTCCTTCGCTATCTTCCTGAGTCGACGGGTGGTAAGGATAATAGCAAGTCTTTTCTTTTCCTTTGACGGCTCTCATTAGCACTCTGCCGGAAGTGTACCTGCTAAATACATAGACAATCGAGCGCGGAATTTTAATTGCGAACGCCGGAAAAGCAAACGACTGAGTGACTCGTTGTCGGGGAGTCTAGACTCGAATGCAAGGTAAACTTTCGTCAAGTGTGTACAGCGTTATTGTTACGACGCAATCTCTGCGTCTAACACGATATGTTGTGACTACGATTTTTAACACTGCGTGAGAAAAACTTGTTGTGGCACAAGCACATTTCAACTAATCGACTTATATTTATTTGTTTTGTAATTAATTTTAAAAAATTCTACAAATTTTTCTAATTCTACAAAATCAAACGATCTCGTACACAGTCTAATTATTACACAATTATATATTTTTTACTCACCTATTAGTTTCAAATTTATACTGAGGTCTTCGCATAACCAAGAGTCGAGGAAGAATGTGAATAAAAACTCTTTTCACCCAAGGTGCCATTCTGTGCGTTTGCGGCGAACGGAAGTGGACGTTGAGGACGACCACAGTTACGCATATACTGAGAACAGATAAAACAGAGAGACGGACTCATTTACACGTTACGTTAAAATACTTGAAGAACAATTTTAGCAACGTAATCTGCTATTTAGCTTAATTTACACAAGCAAATGTGAACATAGAAATATAATCCACACATTTGCATTAAATCGATGTTTCCAGACTCCGAACTAGAGCGTTTTGTATCCGGTTTGTACGACATAATTAGAAGACAAACTCTGCGGTGTTACTACACGGTGTTACCACACTACGCCATTACCGAAAATTCTAATTAAATTTTCCAACAACGCTCTGTTACAACCAACGGCAAGTTTAATCCGCGGTAAGTGGAAGCGCGAACTTTTTTTTTGCGCACGGTTTGAATGTGGATACAATGCAATTGTACTACTGCAATTACAACCGTACGCGTTCAAGCTCTTTGAACTCGACGTTATGAATGAGTTCTCCTTATCTTAATAAACGTTGTTTTTCGCTACAATATGTTAGATATTGTACTGTGATGTACCAGATTCGTGTTTCTTGATTATGGAATAATTTTAATTACAAATAAACGCGTGTGTAAAATAAAAACAAATGACAGAATTAGAAAGCAAATAACGTTCTTCTGTTTCGTATTTAGCCGATATTGACCGTTTTGCAAATCGGTCGTTATATATGTAATAGCGAACTCGTTCCGGTGAACGAAAGCAAATTGCTATCACGTATAACCGTGAGTCGGAAGACGGAACAGAAATGTAAATCTCTCTTACGAAGCTATTCATAACGCGAATCTGTTCAACGATAGGAGATACGCCGGACGGGTCGCTGGGCAAGGGACAGGCCGCGATTCAAAATTGGATTCACTTCCTTTGACACGGACTTAGATCCATCGGTTCATGCGGCTAACGTAGCCGGTGGATCTCTCACGTCTATTCGCTTTTTATCATTCTCGGCAAAATGTGTCATAATGTTCGCGTATATTCCCAAAGCCGTCTTCGCTCTAAATGCGTAATTCCGAGCGAACGGACGTGACAAGAAATATCATTTTCGGTACAACCTCGCGATCGCTAATCCGGAAAAAGAAAAAGAAAGACTCGAAAGATAATGTTCGTTTAAAGTTAATCTTTCTCGCGGACTGACTTCCAAAACAGTCTAGTCGGTCTGACTGGGTCTGTGAGACCCGCGGGACTTTAAAATCAAATATTTCTTCAAAAACCAATATTAAAAAAATTTTTTTGTTTTTTTGAATCAAAAATTTAAACAATTCTGCGTTGAAAAAAAAGAAAAACAAATTGAAAAAATCTCTATTAGTTTCGAAGATATAAGCGTTTAGAAAAAAAAACGAACTTTTAACTAGAGATAGCGGTTTGAAATTTTTGGATGGGAGACCCATGTCAGTCCGCGAAAGGTTGAATAATATTTTATTTGAAATATAAAAAAAAATATAGAAATATAAAAATCTATCACATTGTGTCATTTTTATTTGCAAAAATTCCCACATATGCGATATTTTTTTTCAACGTTTCAACTTAGCGGTCTAAAAGTTTTATCAGTGTTTCCATTGATACAAGCGGCATTCTTTTCAATTTGTCTCGCAATCACGAGAAAGCTTGCAACACACAAATACAAGACGTCTCAGAATGTTTCAGGATTCAGCTCCACCTCGGGTGGCTGCAGCCTCGGTAAACGTTGCTACTGATTAATGTGTCACACCTACCGCATCCTTGCAACGTCCAAAGCTATTAGGAGGTTTCCACACATACACACGTGTACACACGCATAGACACACGTAGGCACTCAAACAACGCCTCGCATGCTGTTGGCCCGATTCGCCAATTTGCTGACTCCTTCGTTTTCAAGGAGACTCTTCTCTCTCTCTCCCCCTCTTCCTCTCTTTTTTGTCGTCCAAGTAGATCGTGTCATCGATTCGCTCGGCATGCGACTTAAGATGCACAGTAATATTGCCGTCTCGAAGAAATATGTTCAACGTTCTCCGTGTCGATAATGGCTGACACTCGATACCCTCTTTCAAGCTTTAAAGACTTCACGTCTCGGTGTCACATTTGGCACGCCTCGTGCTTTACCAATTCAATTTCTAATTTCTTGTAAGAATCAAAGTGATATACGTATTACAAAATATTATATTTCCGTTGAATATTTTTCATATTTAAGCTGAGAATTCTAAAAACACATTATATATTATCTACTATATTGAAATTGTATATTTGCGTGACACTTCCAACAAACATTATGTGACAAATATTTTCTCTTTTTTTCAACGTAGTTATTGTTTGTTGATGAGTCAAATTCAAATAAGAAAACATAACTGACGACTGATCGCAGCGCTGAGAAAGCTCAGAAGGTTCGCATCCGTTGATCAGACAAGACGCCCAAAGAGATCGCGCGTCCCGAAATCGATTATAACTATATATTTCTGTATTATGTTAAACAACATTTTAACTTAAACAACTTTAAATTTATTTATATATAAATAAATAATCAAATAAAAACATCCTACATTCTTTTCTGTTTAATTTTAATTTCTTTTCTTTCTATGAAAAAATCTCACGAACAAAGAGAGAGAGAGGCAAGCACAGAATGTGAAATAAATATCAAATATCTCTATTTTTAACGAAGTATTTTAATAAATTAATGATTCCTGAGAAATCTGCGCGTTTAATTAAGTAAAAAATTTTTATAACTAATGCAGTAGTTGAACGAACAGTCGCGCGAAAGCGCCTCATTGTTACAAGAGACTTATACGCGCATTCATAAGACAGGAATCCTTTTTTTTTTTTAACGAGAGCCAGAATATGAAATATTTTCTTGAAAATAATAAGTCCGCGACTATTGCCGCACAATGTGACGCTTGACCAACTTCTCTTCTTTCTCTCTTCTTTTTTCTTTATTTTTCTTCTTCTCTCATTGAAGACCAAATCCGCCTCAAAAGTAAGCAATCTTCATCTCGCGCTCGTCGCAGCTCGACTTGGCGGCGTAATCCAGAGAAATATTGCAAATTCGAGAGCTGGCGGAAAGTAAAAAGCCTTTTGCTGTTCCGAGGCGCTCGCGGACGTGGAATGAATCGTGAAATCACAGGACGCTCCTCACTGATTCTCCGAGGAAAGGACCATTAAGTCTAGGATGCGCGTAGTCTATTGCTTGCATTTGCCAGTGTATATCTGAGAAGAAGAAATATGCTCTCTCTTTCGTCCGCCCTCGTGAGCTCGACGCGCGCTGCGCGAGCGTTTCCCTTCGCGCGTGATTTCCTCGCTCAAAGCCAATTCATAAACACACTTCGCACATTTGGAATTCTCTCAAATATATATACGTTGTTCTTCTAAAGAAAAAAAATTTCAAGAGTACACAAATATAAATATCTAAAGAGAAGAAACGTACATATTTCTTATACTGTTTTAAGCATTCCGATGATAATCTGCTTTATGCGTAAGTTATAGAGTTTTCTCGACACGTGCGTTTTTTTTTTTTTACAGGACGCGAACACGTTGAAGAAAACGCTCTCAATCTCCCTTGAATCGGCCGCGTCACGTCGGAGATGCGACGTGGTACAAATTTCCAAGTCGCTTCATCATCGTCGGCCATCAGTCACGAAGAAAAGAATGTTGCGCAGGACGGAAGCAGAGGGGTTCGGGATGGCTTTGTAAAAAATGTAAAATGGGAGAAAACGTGATGCGGAGAGAAAGCTTATGGAAAATAAATGTGAGAAGAAAGAGGAGGAAAAGGAAGAAAAAGATCGTCGGCTCTCTGGTAAGACGAGCGATTGAGAATTGCGGAGTCGCGCGAAAATATTATAATTGTGACGCACGCACGTTATAATACAATTACTCGGTGCGAAAAAAGGTCGAAAGACAAATGTCGAAAATGCAAACAATGAAAGCTTCTTTGCATTGTCAATAATTTGAAGTGAGAAGTGAAAGGGCGATGTAACGGAAAGAGGATGTACATGTTAGATACACTCTCTCAGACATTACAAACGGGATCAGAACTGTACGAATACAATAGGCTCTGAGCCAGATCGAACTGAGTGGAGGATGTAACCTACATCCGGATAACGCATTGCATCGACACACTTCCGACGCTCGTTTTCCTCTTGTCGCCGCGAACTCTTTGCCTTGCTTTCGACGCGGATCGAAATGTTGCCTGACTCACGCGCGCCGAGAATCGCGTCCTCGCGGGCTTGACCCACTTCGCGATTTTCACGTGCGACCAGCACGTAGCGTTTTGCGACCGTTCATCTTCGAGACGGCGACCACATGAATCCTAATCACGTTCGAAAAAGCCGCTCACATATCTCGGGCACGTAGACCGGGCAAGTGACCGGAAGAGAGAAAATCTACCGGACGCCTCGCTCGAGCTGCAACCAAGTTTCCCGGGACCATGAGATACTTCTCAACAAAGTTCCCGAAGAAAGAGAGAGAAAGAGAGAGAGAGAGAGAGAGAGAGAGAGAGAGAGAGAGAGAGAGAGAGAGAGAGGCGGGTTTAGATAAGTGCCGTTTGTTCGTTCTTTTTTGCCATCCGTTATATTCAGCCTGAAGATGCGAGAGAGCGATTAAAGTTACCAGGCAGCGCTTTATCGAGGGCGAGCAGCCTGAGAACCATCGTTGCATTTTGTAAACCATATTGCTAGTTGTGTTAACGCCAAGAAAAGTTGATCTCTTCGAACTTCTTGCCCCGGCGAAGTTTACAGTGTTTATTTATTTAACGACGTTATAATATTTCCACGTATAATATTCGTATAGATTTATTTTAGTATTTACAATAATTTGATCGACACGCAGAAAAGAAAGTACATGTCAATTATAATTAACAAAAAAGATAATTGTATAATATATATTTGAAGATATACAAAACTACAATCTAGCTCTTCAAACGTTTTCAAAATTAATCTTTTATTCAAACAGTATAAAATAATAGAATTTACAAATTATTTGCAACACTCGCGTGTACATCCATCCAAGCAAGAATTATTCTCTCTCTCTTTCAACTTTTTACATTGTTGCGAAG